TATATGTATATAATTATATATATAATATATATATATGATTATATATATAATTATATATGTATAATCATATAGATATGTAATTATATATCTAATCACATACATACATATTATAATATATATATAATTATATATATATACTTATATATATAATCATACAGACATATATATATATATATATTATATAATAATATATATATATTATCTATATATATATAATCATATATATATATATTTGTATATAATTTAGAAGGGTTTTCTATTTAAGCCTGTTCCGTCGGGTACGAGACCTTCTTTAGAAGCCATAATAGCAATAAGATCGACAAGTCTAGCAGAATAAGAATATTCATTGTCGTACCAGCTGATAAACTTGAAGAAGCTTGAATTAAGCATAATGCTTGCATCCGCATCAAAGACAGAGCTACACTCTGTCCCAAGTATATCTGTTGAAACAATAGGTTCTTCTGTATATCCTAATATACCTTTAAGATTAGTTTCAGATGCATGTTTAATAGCAGATTTAATTTCTTCATATGTTGCGCTCTTCTTTAATCTACATGTTAAATCTATCACAGATACATCTATTGTAGGTACTCTAAAAGCTAAGCCCGTTAGCTTTGAGTTTAAATGAGGTAGACATCTTGATATAGCCTTTGCTGCACCTGTTGAAGCAGGTATTATATTTACGCTTGAAGCTCGTCCACCCCTCCAGTCCTTTGAACTTTGACTATCAACAACTTTCTGTGTTCCTGTAGCTGCATGCACTGTACTCATTAAACCTTCTTCAAGCCCGAACTTCTCATCTAATACTTTTACTAATGGTGCTAATGCATTTGTTGTACATGAAGCACATGAAACAACCTTCATTTCAGGTGTATACTCAGCTTCAGCATTCACACCTACGACTAATGTCGGTGTTTCTTTATCTTTCGCAGGAGCAGATATTATCACATGACGAGCACCATCAGCCCTGAACAAACAACAAAAATATTATCTATTTAAACATATTTCTACCTATTTAAATATACTTCTTTCAAGTTATGTCCTTTTAAACTAAATTTATGCTATTTAATGCTATGAAACAACTTTATCTTAATTTATCTTAATTTAATTTAATTTAGTTTATATAACTTTATATTTATTTAAATCACACATACAACAGATAAAGTCAGATGAGACATAGCAAAAAACAATTGAAAGATATAAACACACAAAATAAAAAAGAAATAAAACAAAGATAAGACGAAAAACAAACAAACACAAAAAAAGTAAAAGACACAGCATTCTAAGCCCCCGTAAACCCTAAACCCTAAACCCTAAACCCTAAACCCTAAACCCTAAACCCTAGACACCGAGATCTACACTCTAAACCCTCTTCGATCCGCACAAAACCCCAGACCCAGCTCTTAATGCTGTCTCTGATCACAAACCCTAAACCCTAAACCCTAAACCCTAAACCCTAAACCCTAAACCCTAAACCCTAAACCCTCAAACCCTAAACCCTAAACCCTAAACCCTAAACCCTAAACCCTAAACCCTAAACCCTAAACCCTAATAACCCTAAAGAACCCTAAACCCTAAACCCTAAACCCTAAACCCTAAACCCTAAACCCTAAACCCTAAACCCTAATACCTTAAACCCTAAACCCTAAACCCTAAACCATAAACCATAAAACTGTAAGGCGCACCTGCAGGGGTCTTGTTTTCTTCTTTGGAGAGCTGGAGATGAGGCTGAGGGTTTACAAGGCGAGAGGCAGTGAGGGTTTGAGTTGGGTTTGTACCGGCGATAAACCCTAAACCACTCTCTAATAAATCCGCACTCAAACCCTCATTAGGGTTTAGGATGTGCAGCTCTGCACGCTCAGGCATTGGCTGTACATTGCGCTCCGTCTGCAGCAACTCCCTTGCTAACTCCTGAAAACAAACCCTAAACCCTAAACCCTAAACCCTAAACCCTAAACCCTCAATCCCTAGGTCCTAGTGCATTGCAAAACCCTCTTCTGGGGTTATTATAAACCCTAATGTCTAAACCCTTGTTGTGGTGATTATTATATAAATCCTAGTGTTTAACTCCTCTTGCTGTTCATATATACATATATATATAAATAAGGGTTTAGGGTTTGGGTGATATGGATGATACCTGAACAAGTGCGCAGACGCTGCTGCGATTGTCTTCAGTGTTTTGTTGTAAGACAGCGAAGAGGGGTTCGAACTCAACGCCAAACTCTTTAAATAAATCTGCTGCAACAGCTTTAAGTTCTTGAGCAGAGAGCGGGGGGAGGCCCTGGGGTGTATGCGCAGCTTCGGGTGTATGCGCAGCTTCGGGTGTATGCTCAGCTCGAGAACAAAGAGATGAAGCAGCAAGAGATAAATATGAAGATGATAACAAACAAGTTGAAGATTCTAAACCCTCAGCAACATAACACCGCGGGTGCTGAACGCATATTGAAGGTGCTTCACTCAGCGAAGAGCAGCTTAAACCCTCAAACGGTTCTGCACACAACAAACCCTAAACCCTAAACCCTAAACCCTAAACCCTAGACCCTAGACCCTAAACCCTAGAGAGAAATATGCAAAAATAAACAACTGTACACACAGCCCTATGTCTTAGCCAAAATAAAACCATACAGAACCCCAAACAACCCTTAAACCCTAAACCCTAAACCCTAAACCCTAAAACGTCAGTGCTGAACCCTCCAGCAGAACACCAACACCCAGCGGGGCGTTTTCTTCTATTCAATTCTGCCTCACAAGCTCTTCTGCTGCTGCTACTGCTGCTGCTGCTGCTGATACTGCTGCTGCTACTGCTGCAGCTGCTGCTGCTGTTAGGCTAGGGTTTAGGGTTTAGGGTTTAGGGTTACCGAATGCATTGTGGAAATAAACGTTGAGGGTTTTGCCGCTCGATGGATCAGCGAAACGAAAATTGCGGGGGGCGAAGATTTTCAGCTGCTGCTGCTGCTGCTGCTGCAGTTCTTTCTGCTGCTGCTGCTGCTTGTCTTGCTGCTGCTGCTGTACTTCTTCTTCCTGCTTCTGCTCTTGCTGCTGCTGCTGCGGCTGCTGGGTTTCTTCTGTTGCAGCTGCTAGCGCCTCTGCTTCATCTGCTGCTGCTGCTGCAGCAGCAGCAAACTGCTGCACTGCTTCTTCATCGTTGTTCTCTGCTGCTACTTCTGCTGCTGCTGCTGCTGCTGCTGCTGTGTCTGCAAGCAGCTGGGCCTCTGCTGCAGCAGCCCACAGCTGTTTGTCCTTCTCCTCGCTGCTGTCTGCTCCCTGCAGCAGCAGCAGCTGCTGCTGCTCTTCCTCCACAACTAAACCCTCATTATGACTCTCTGCATCAGCTGAGGGTTTAGGGTTTAGGGCTTTAGGAGGTGCTTCACCGAGCTTCAAACCCTCAGATATCCAGACCCCAGCAGCGGCAAGACATAGCAAAAGACAAACCCTCATCGTCAATAAACCCTAAAAACACACACACACCAATTAGGGTTTAGGGTTTAGGGTTTAGGGTTTACAAACCCTAATGTGTACGACACAGCCACAGTCGCAGCCGCCTTATACCCCAAACCCTAACAGCAGCAACATCAAAACAAACACTAATAACTCAACCAAACCTAATTAGGGTTTAGGGTTTAGGGTTTAGGGTTTAGGGTTTAGCAAGGCTTCCAATATTCGTGCAGCCTTCGATTGCCGCAGCACACACAGCCTAGCCGAGGGTTTAGGGTTTAGGGTTTAGGGTTTAGGGTTTAACTCACGAGCAAGAACTCAAGAAGAAACTGTCTGCAGCATATGATAGAGCGGGAAGAAAAAGGAAATGATAACAAACGCCAAACCCTAAACCCTAAACCCCAAACCCTAAACCCTAAACCCTAAACACCAGGGGGAGACGTTGCGTACGCAAAGGCGGCAGCGCCTCAGCTGCACCCTCGGCTCTAGGGTTTAGGGTTTAGGGTTTAGGGTTTAGCTAATCAGAATGAGGGTTTAGGGTTTATAAACACTTTTTAAGGTTTATTTAATTGCTTATTTGCGCTGTTTCCTCTCCTTCACCCTCAGACACCGCAGCAGGGGGCTCGTCCCCTCCAAAGCCTAAACCCTAAACCCTAAACCCTAAACCCTAAACCTAAACCCTAAACCCGCGGTTTTGTATTTGAAACTGTAGGCAGCAACACCTTCACAAACACACCAACAACGAACTCCTACGAATCTAGCCCTAAACCCTTAATAAACCCTAAACCCTAAACCCTAAACCCAAACACCTAAACCCTAAACCCTAAATCCTAAACCCTAAAACGCTATAACAACTAGCGGATTATAAAATATGTAAATCGATAAACCCCTTTAGGAGAAATAAAGTCTAATAGCGAGACAATAATGTTCTGCTGCAGCTGCTGCTGCCGATCCTGTTGCTGCTGCTGCTCTTGCTGCTGCTGCTGACACAGTTGCTGCTGTTGCTGCTGCTGTTGTTGCCGTTGCTGTTGCTGCAAGGGGTTTCATTTAAAGCTGAAGCAGCAGTTCCAGCGATGTGCTGCTAGGGTTTAGGGTTTAAAACCCTAAACCCTAGGGTTTCGTTTGCAAGACACCCAAGACCTAATTAATGTGTCTCCTTCATTCTAAACCCTAAGAGCTATGCCTAAACCCTAATTTAGGGTTTAGGGTTGGTTAAACCCTAAACCTTAGAAGTTAACACCTAGTTTAGGGTTTTAAAGTTGGTGAAACCCTAAACCCTAGAAGGTAAATCCTAAACCCTAATTTAGGGTTTGCCACCCCACACAACGAACCACTAAATCATAAATTAGGGTTTGGATTGCACAAATTTAGGGTTTACGATCAACCCATACCCTAGTTTAGGGTTTGAGGGGCAGATAAACCCTAATGAGGGATTGGAGAGTTAGCAAAACCCTAATTTAGGGTTTTACAGGCAGCTAAACCCTAATTAGGGTTTCTGATGGGCCTAAACCCTAATTTAGGGTTTCAAAAAGATACACCTAAAACCGTAAACCCTAATTAGGGTTTAGGGTTTTATTTAATGTGCACTAAACCCTCATTTAGGGTTTAGGGCAGGAATAAGCAAAACCCTACATTAGGGTTTCGCTATCTAGACCCTCACAATTAGGGTTTAGGGTTTATCATAGACGACCCCTTATGTCATCAAGCGCCGCCGTGCTTAACAACTGTCTTTCTTTGTCTGCAGCTGCAGCAGCAAAACAAAAAAATAAATAAAAATATATAAATAAATAAAAAATATGAACAAAGAAACAAATATTAATAAATATAAATATAATAACAACTATAAACAAAACATCAAAAGAAAGAAAACAAAACAAACAACAAAAACTAAAAAATAGCAGCATAATAAAAAGAAATATAAATAAATAAAAACAAAAATAAACAAAGATAAAACAAATAAAACAAATAAAACAACGATTTAACGGACATAATAATAAATAAAAATAAAAATAAACAAAAATAAAACAAATAAAACAAATAAAACAAACAAACAAAACAAGAAGAAAAGAAAACAAATCCAAACACAAATCAACCAACCCAAACCCTAAACCCTAAACCCTAAACCCTAAACCCTAAACCCTAGGAGACAAACCCTCAATGGTATCTATAAACTCCTTCATAAACGCAGGGAGGTGAGGTGCATCAAGCAGCAAATCTTTATACAAACCCTCGCCGTCTCCGCTCAAACCCATAAACTCTCGCAGACTGAAAACACAAACCCTAAACCCTAAACCCTAAACCCTAAACCCTAACCCTAAACCCTAAACCCTGAACCCTAACCCTAAATATTTACATAAACCCTCGCCATCTCCACTTAAACCCATAAACACTCGCAAAATAGAAACAGATGTCCTAAACAATAAACCCTAAACCCTAAACCCTCAAGGTGATGTTGTCTTGCATAGGATGTCTTCAACGCTACCGCAAGCCGTAAACCCTAAACCCTAAACCCTAAACCCTAAACCCTAAACCCTAATTTGAATTACCCCATTTTAAGGGTGTCCGGGGGGAAGGAAGAAGAGGAGGCAAGAGCAACAATAAAGCTGAAGAGAGTTTTGCGTTGCTGCAGCAATGCGGGTTTATTTGCTGCCAGCTTATTTGCTGCTATCTGCAGCAGCTCCAGCAGCAACGCCTGCAGCAGCAGCAGCAGCAACAGCAGACATAATACAAATAAATATACAAACAGCTGTAATAATATAATATTCAAGAGAAAAACAACACTAGCAACAGCAGCAACAGCAGCAGCAACAGCAGCAGCAGTAGCAGCAACAGCAGTAGCAGCAACAGCAGCAGCAGCAACACTCCAAGCAGCAGGGCTTGCATAAAAAAGAAGAATCAAAAGGAGACAGACGAAGAGAAAGAGAGACAGACGAGATAGAAATAAACAACAAAACAAATAAACAAACAAACAAACAAATATATAAAATTATCTTACTTTCTGTGCTTCCTGAGACTCGTAGACAAAACCCTCAAAGACGTCCAACGACTCCTTTGTAGTTGTTGAAATAATGTCGTCAAACTCTCGCCTTGCTGTAGCACGAGCTTGCTCTTCATTCATCACATTGCTGCTGCTGCTGCTGCTACTGCTGCTGCTGCTGCTGCTGCTGCTGCTGCTCATGCTCGTGCTGCTGCTGCTGACCGTCGTCGCAGTGCTGCTGCTAAACGCACGCAAATAACCCACACCCGAACTCTAAACCCTAAACCCTAAACCCTAAACCCTAATAAGTTGCGCGTACTGTTACCCCTAAACCCTAAACCCTAAACCCTAAACCCTTACGTTGTTTCAGTTCTCTTTTTCCTGCGTTCTCCTTCTGCTGCACTTCGTTTAGTGTCTGATCCACCGGACCGTCTCAACTCTAAAACCTGCTGCTGGCGTCTGTCTCTTTCTCTCTCTTGACGCATGCGCCCCAGTTGGCTGCGCAGCAGCAGCAGCAGCAGCAGCAACAGAGTTGAAGCAACGAGAAATATAAAGCAGAAAAAGAAGAAGACGTCTACACGTCGTGCTCCAGCAACAGCAGCAGCAGGGGCAGCAGCAGCAGCAACAGCAGCAGCAGCAACAGCAGCAACAACAGCAGCAGCATCTCACCTGAATGCTGATTGGCCTCCACCACTCATTCCAGAGACCGCATTCGACGTCTGCAGAAAACACAAACCCTAAACCCTAAACCCTAAACCCTAAACCCCAAGTGGAACGACTGTTAACCCATCACTTTAAACCGTAAACCCTAAAACCCTAAACCCTAGATGCATCGCTCTCTAAACCCTAAACCCTTGTTTCAAACCCCGCCTTAGAATCTGCATAATAAGCCCCCGATGCGAAGTGAATAAAGCAACCAAAAACAAACAAATAAATAAATAAATAAATAAATAAATATATACTCTTACTGAGCTTGAGGGTGTTCTTGTGTGTACTGCTGCAGCAGCACCTCTTCTACTGGAGGCGATCTCCCAGCCAACATCTTCTTGATGATTTCTATATCCATCTCTGTTGCTGCTATGGTTTGCTGCAGCACCATGCTGCTGCTGCTGCTGCTGCTGCTGTTGCAGCTGTGAATGATGGGAATGATGTGGATGATGTGAATGCTGCTGCTGCTGCTGCTGCTGCGCATGCAACTCTTCTAATGTTGCAGGACCTTCTCTCTTATGAGGAGGCTGTCGCTTCCAGTTAGCTGCTCTTGAGTCCAAGACATCGTTCATCAAACAACGAACGCGAAAAGGCAATGACGCATCGCTCGCGAGCGATGCAACCAAATTCATTCGCTCGCAGAACTCTCCATACAGTCTCCACTGCAAACAAAACAAATAAAATAAATTATTTTAATTAATTAATTAATTAATTAATTAATTGTTTATTTATTTATTTATTTGGGTGTCGTCGTTCGTTTCATTTCCGAGCCGTCTTTCTATGTATTTATCGTTATATTTAAAAATATACACATAAACCCTAAACCCTAAACCCTAAACCCTAAACCCGCGTACAACCTAAATTCATGTAAACCCTACCAGGCCATGCTAAACTCTAGGAAAACCTCGTAAACCCTAAACCCTCATGATAAACTCTGTAAACCCTCGTTTTAAGCCCTAAACCCTAATTTAACCCCTAAACCCTCGTTTTAAACGCAAAACCCTAAACCCTAAACCCTGATATAAAACCCTAAACCCTGATTTACTTGAGGATTATCAAAGAAAGGCCCAACAGTATGCAAGAAAGCGCACAGCGCCTCTACATGGTGAACGCCTTGATCAATGCTGTTGCTAGCAGCAATACACTCTGCTCTCTTCTGCAGCAATCTGTCTATACACTCTAACAATATTGCTTGAGATATCATCTTCGATTTCAGCAACTCTCCAACAAATATCATGTTGCCTGATATAACCACAAACCACAAACCCTAAACCCTAAACCCTAAACCCTAAACCCTAAGCCCTCGTGTGTGAACCCCCCTCTATTATGCATTGAAGGAGTTAAAAGAACGGATAGGCAGTTTAAAAGATAAACCCTAAACCCTAAACCCTAATGTTATAAACACCAGTAAACCCTAATCTAAACCCTAAACCCTAAACCCTAAACCCTCGTTACCTGTCATGGTTTTCTTGTAGTTGAGTTCGAACTCATATGCGTCGTCTTCATTTAAACCCTCAGGCACCGCAATCGGCTCAAGATTTGCGTTGAAAGAATCTTCGCACTGATCAATCAATATCCTGCAGCAGCAGCAGCAGCAGCAGCAGCAGCAGCAGCAAACGCAACAGCAGCAGCAACAGTTTTACCACCAGTAGCAGCAGCATCACGAAAGCAGCAGCAGAAGTAGAAGCAGCTGTAACACTACCGATGCGCAGCAAGTACAGCTTCCTGCTGCTGATGTCACAGCATAAGCAAACCAGCAGCACCAGCACCAACACAAGCAGCAGCAGCAGCAGCAGCAGCAGCAGCAGCAGCTCGTTCCCACCTCCTGAATTTGGTGCTGCGATGATCGTCTTGAAGAAGCTCCTGGAAATCTGTCTTCAGCTTCCCGCACAGCATCACGTACATCTGCAGCAGCAGCAGCAGCAGCAAATGCAGCAGCAAATGCAGCAGCAACAAGAGAAGGGTAGGAGTTCAGGACAGCGGCAACGAGAATTCTGCTGCTGCTGCTGCTGCAGCAGCAGCAGCAAAAAGGCAGTATGACCAGCACCACCAACGAAAAAGCAGCAACAAGACAGCAGCAACCCAACTCGCTTCAAAAGCAGCAGCAGCAACAGCAAGTAAGAAGTAGCAGCAGCAGCAGCAACAGCAAGTAAGAAGTAGCAGCAGCAGCAGCAGCAGCAAGACCAGAAACGAAGCAGCAACAGCTACACAGCACCACCATCAACAGCAACACCACCACCACCACCACCAGAAGCAGCAGCAAATGCAGCAGCAGCAACAGAACCAGCAGCAGCAGCAGCAACAGAAGCAGCAGCAGAAGCAGCAGCAGCAGAAGCAGCAGCAGCAGCAGTACCTGAATAAAGTGGTGCTGCGCCACAGCCTTATCGAAGATCATCTGCATGAGGGCCTTCACATCTGCTTCTTCTTTAACTCCAGCAGCAAGAATTTGAGTGTATATGCGATCAAACCTCTCTAAGGTTAGTTTGTTTAATAAACCTTTCAGCTGCCGCAGCAGCACCAGACGGCTGTCTCTGTATATCAAAAACAAACAGCAGCAGCAGCAGCAAACATATCCATATATGTATAGTCTATATGCAGTATATATATAGCAGCAGCAGCAGAAACGAGGGAGATCAGCAGAGTGAAGCAGCAGCAACACAACAGCAACAAACAGCACCAACAGAGGATATTGCTGCTGCGACAACTGTAGCTGTTCCTGCTGCAGCGGCAGCAGCTGTAGCACAGCACCCAGCAGCAGCACCAGAAGCGGCAGCAGCCGGATCAGCAGCAGCAGCATCATTAATATAATTGAGTTGTTTACTCCTTTTGCTTCTCCTGTATAACAAGCCACGAATCCTTTGAAGGGGTAGGAAGTGTTGCTGCTGCTGCTGCTGCTGCTGCGCGAGGCCTCTCTCTACGCACGCTGCTGAAGTCCGGGGGCTTCTCTTGAGAGAAGAAGCCTCCTAAAGACGAAGCAGACACGCGACTTCCTCCAGCAGCAGCACCGGATGTGCTGCAGCAGCACAAGCAGCACAAGCAGCAGCAGTAGAAGTAGCAAAAGCAGCAGCAGCAGCAAAAGAAGCAGCAGCAGCAAAAGACAGAGAAAGGGACAAGGAAAGAATGTCGCCATATCAACATACACAACAAAGAAGCCTGCATGCAGCTCCATCACAATTCTGCTGCAGCAGCAACAACAACAGCAGCAGCAGCAGCAGCAAAAGCAGCAGCAGCAGCAGCAAAAGGAACAGCAGCATACCGCGCTGAAGCGAAGCTCTTCATTGCATCGTCGTGTGCTGCGTCTCTGGGCCGCCTCTGCCATTCGTGATGATCAGGTGCTTGTTGCTGCTGCCGCATGCGTGTTTGCTGCTGCTGCTGCTGCTGCTGCTGCGGCTGCTGCGGCTGCGGTGCTGCTTGAGGCAAGTAGAAGCTGCCTTCTGTTAGCTGCACAACACCGTCAACCTTCAAAGGCCTGCAGCTTGGGTGGCTTCGCACCTTTGCTAGAAACCCAATTGAATATACTGCTTCTCCCGCTGCTGCTGCTGCTGCTGCTGGTGCTGCTGCTGCTGTCTTGGCTGCAGACACTGCTGCTGCTGCAGCAGGCACATACGGCTCCGGCTCCTCCGGCTCGTCGTCGCCCCACGCATCCTTAGGGCTAGCCTTTTTGCTGCTGCTGCTAGCAGCACCAGGAGTTGCTGCTGCTGCTGCTGCTGCTGGTGATGCTGCTGCTGGTGATGCTGCTGCTGCTGCTGACCTGCTGCTTTCTCCAAGGGGTCTCGGCGAGCTGAGAGGCGACAAATGACCTTTGCTGCTGCCAGGAGACCGAGAACGAAGCCTCCCTGTCTCTGCTGCTGCTGCTGTTGCTGCTGCAGCAGGAACCGACAGCCTCTCACTGGGCCTCGGCGACGCCGCACGAGCAGCAGCTGCAGCAGCCTTCGACTCCGCTAGCTGCTGCTGCTGCAGCCTTTCTTGCTGTTGCTGCCGCTCCTGCTGCAGTCTTTCCTGCTGCTGCCTCTCTTGCTGCTGCTGCCTCTCTTGCTGCTGCTGCCTCTCCTGCTGCTGCTCGCGTTCCTGCTGCTGTTGTTCCCGCTGCTGTCTCTCCTGCTGCTGCTGCTGCTGCTGCTGCTGCTGCTGGTGCGGCCTGTGCGTTGCCCTAGGCATCGCCAAGCCATCACGAAGCATCCCCGGGAGCACCGTCACCGGTTCTGCTGCAGTTGCTGCTGCTGCTGCTGCTGGTTTGTCTTTTGAGGCTGAAGGCCCAGCAGAGACAGTGCTGCTGCTGCTGTTCATCGGCAGCGGAGTCGGCTGCCCCCAATCCGGGCTTTCCGGCTGCTGCTCTTCCTGCTGCTGCTGCTCCTGCTCCTGCTGCTGTTGCCGCTGCTGCTGCTGCTGTTGTTGCTGCTGCTGCTGCTGCTGCTGCTTCTCTCCGGCCTTCACGCTGTCTCGCTTTCCTCCGGGCAGTGCAAACCGCTGCCACTGGCCCGGCAGCAAAGGCGCCTCGACCTGCTGCTGCTGCTGCTGCTGCTGCTGCTGTTGCTGCTGCTGCGGCTGCCGCTTCACGTTCGGTCTAGTCTTGGGCCACACAGGGGCTGCGCAAGGCTCCTGCTGCTGCTGCGTCGTTGCAGCAGCTGCAGCAGCACCTCCTGCTGCTGCACTCGCTGCTTCAGCAGCAGCAGGACGGGGAGGAGGCACCGCCCAGCGCCCCAGAGGAGCAGCGCCAGCAGCCCAGGCCCCGGAAGGCTTAGGAAGCTGCTGCTGTTGCTGCTCCTGCTGCTGCTGCTCGTGCTGCTCTTGCGGCTGCTCTTGCTGCTGCTGCTGCTGCTCTGAACGAGCTGCTTCCTGAGGCAACTCCTGCTGTTGCTGCTGCTGCTGATGCTGCTGCTGCGGCTGTCTGAACCCTCCTCTGCGCTGCCCGTGAACACCGTGGGGCCCCCCCCTTCCCCTGGTGTGGGGCCCGCCGCGGCTGCTGCTGCTGCTGCTGCTGCTGCTTCTGTCCCCCCAGTGCGAGTCGTTGTAAGCAGGGGCTCCGCTGCCTCTGACGAGGCCACCTCTGCCTCGTCCCCCCCGCATGCCTCCTTGCTGCTGCTGCTGCTGCTGCTGCTGTTGCTGCTGCTGCTCTCCAGCGTTTGCTGCTGCTTGCTGCTGCTGCGGCGAGGGCTGCGGCTTCACTGGCTCCGGACGATCCTTCGCTAGGCGAGCCCTCATTGCCCAAGTCAAACCGTCTCCTGCTGCTGCTGCTGCTTCTGCGCCGTCGGTTGCTGCTGCATCACTGGCAGTGGGGGGTGAAGCAGGCTCCACGCGTTCTGCTGCAGCTGCTGGTGCTGCTGCTGGTGCTGTTGCTGGCGATGCTGGTGCTGCTGCAGCTGCTGCTCCTTCATGCGACTTGGCTACCGGAGCGGCGGGCGCCGCTGCTGGAGGTGCTGCTGCTGCTGCTGCTGCTGGTGCTGCTGCTGGGGCAGCAGGCGCTGCTGCCGCAGCTCTTCGACTCCACTCTGTCGCGTGCTGCGGCTTCTGCTGCTGCTGCTGCTTCTCCGCAGCATCTGCCTGTGCAGCATGGCGCCTGACTGGCCACTGAGGTTGCTGCTGCTGCTGCTGTTGCTGCTGCTGCGGCGGCTGAGGGCTGTGCTTCCCTGCCGAGTGCTGCCTGTTCTCGTTCTCCTGTTGCTGCTTTGCTGGTGCAGCTGCTGCTGCTGGCACTGCTGGCTTAGCCTTCGCCGCCTTCACCCTATCCGCCCAGCTAGAGCCGGTGCTGCTGCTGCTGCTGCTGCTGCTATCAGCTGCAGCTGCTGAGGTCCGCCGCTGCTGCTGCTGCGTAGGAGCCTCCTGTGTCTTTGGTGCCTCTGCTGCTGCTTCTGCAGGTGCTGCAGCAGCAGGTGCTGCTGCTGCAGCAGGCTTGGGGGATTGGGGAGCTGCTGCAGGTGCCGCTGCTGCTCCTGCGGGAGCAGCTTTTGCTGCTGCAGGGGCTACTTTTGCTGCTGCGGCTGCTGCTGCTGCTGCTGCTGCTGCGCTCTCCTGTTCCTTAGGACTCCTGCTAGCAGTACCGAAGTCTGGTGTTGCTGCTGCAGACATCCCGCCTTCTGCTGCTGCTTGTGCGGATTCTGCTGCTGCTGCTGCTTGCGGTGCTGCTGCAGTTGCTGCAGGCGCAGCAGGCGTGCCTGCCTTTGCTTGCCTGGGCTTCTGCTGCTCCTCATGCCGCATCGAGGGCTCTGCTGCTGCTGCTGCTGCTGGGGTTTGCTGTTGCTGCTGCTGCAGCCGAGGGGTGGCCGCACGAACCCTGTCGCTCCAAGTGCTTTGCTTTGGGGTCTCTGTTGCTGTTTTTTCTGTTGCTGCTGTTGCTGCTGCTGCTGCTGCTGCTGCAGGTCGTGGGGATGAGGGAGAGTCTCGTCGTGTTGCTGCAGCAGAAGGTGCGTTCAGCTGCTGCTGCTGCTGCATGCAGCCATTGGTAGAGTGCGGGCCGTCCACAGGGCTTTGCTGCTGCTGATGCTGCGGCGGCGACGGCTGTGCAGACTTTGATCGCGGTGCCTCCTTCGCCTTCTGCTGCTGCTGCTGCTGTTGCTGCTGCTGCTGCTGCTGCTGCCCTGGGCTTCCGGGTTTCTTCCCTGCTGCTCCCTTTAGGAGTCTGTCTCTGAAGCTGCCTCCAGGCAGCATTTGCTGCTGCTGCTCGCCAACGACGCTGGCTGGCGGTGGGGGAGGTGGAGGGGGCTGCTGCTGCTGCTGCTGCTGCTGTTGCTGCTGCTGTTGCTGCTGAGGCTGAGGCTGCGGAGTCTGTGACGGCTGCTGCTGCTGCTGCTGCTGCTGCTGAGGTGTACGAGAAACAGCAGGGGAGACTGGCGTGTGCTGAGGCCCCCATCGGCGTCCTGTGTGTGCAGCTGCAGGCCCGCTCCTTTGCTGCTGCTGCTGCTGCTGCTGCCTTGCCTGCTTGGTGTGGCGCTGCTGCTGCTGCTGCGGAGATGCATAAACTGCTGCATATCCGTATGTGGGGTAGCCCTGCTGCATGTGGGGTGTACGTGCTGCTGCTGCTGCTGCAGCCCCATAGTAAGCAGGGTGCTGCTGCACTGCGCATGCAAACCCTGCAGCTGGCGCTGCTGCTGCTGTTGCTGCTACAGGAGTCGCTGCTGCTGCAGTGCCCGGCAGCACATAAGGGCGTCCAGGGACGAACTCCTGTGCATTGCGGTTAAACTGGTACGCCTTTCCGCTGCTGCTGCTGCTGCTGTTGCTGCTGCTGCTGCTGTTGCTGCTGTTCTCGTTGCAGCTGCTGCTCGCTGAGCTCGACTGCTGCTGCTGTGGGGTGGCGGGCTTAGGCAGCGGCTTAAATTCCGATGCATCGGCCCTCAACACAGAGCGGCCGTTACCCTGCTGCTGCTGCTGCTGCTGTGGCTGCTGTTGCTGCTGCTGTTGCTTGGTGTCAGGGCTTGCAGCGGTGCTGCTGCTGTGGGCCTTCGGCTGCTGCGAGCTGCACTTCTCCGCTGCAGAATCCTGCCCCTGTTGCTGTTGCTGCTGTTGTTGCTGCTGCTGCTGCAGCTTCAGTAGCCCCGCAGCGTGCGGAGGCGTGTCTGTGTCTGCAGCAGACATTGTAAGAAGCTGCCGGTCTCAGCAGCAGCAGAAGCAGCAGCAGCAGCCTCAGCAGCAGCAGCAGCAAGGGCCTCTCGGTGAGTGCAGCGCCGTCGCACTCCTTCTAAATATTTTATTAAGATATCCTTTAATTAACAATCACGTTCAAAGGGACGCAAAAGGCAATCGCAAACTGCTGCTGCTGCTGCTGCTGCTGCTGTTGCTGCTGCTGCCTTGAAACGCCGCTCGTTACTCGCAGGGTTCTCGCTGTCTTCCAAATGAAAATGAAGCAGCAAAAGAGGAAAGACCTGCTGCAGCACTTGCGGTCTTCCCTAAAGACGTTGCCCGCTGCTGCTGCTGCTGCTGCTGCTTTTGCTGCTGCTGCTCGTGCTACTGCACGTGATGCTGCTTCTGCTGCTGCTGCAGTTGCTGCTTAGCAGCAAGGCATCACACTCTGAAGTGCTGCAGGGGCCTATCGAAACACCCTTACTGTGCGGGTGCTTCTTCTGCTGCTGCTGCTGCTACTACTACTGCCCCTGTCGCTGCAGCTGCTGCTGCGGGAGAGCAGCAGCAGCAGCCCGGTACAGGCAGGGAAGACTGCGCTGCTGCAACACAGCAGAACCCTGCTGGAGTTGCTTTGGTCACTGTAGATACTGCTGCTGTCCTGGCGAATATCGGGGGGGCGCCGCTGCTGCTGCTGCTGCTGCTGCTGCTGCTGCTGATGGCGACGGAGCAGTAATGTGTAGCAAGAAAAACAACGAAGCAGAGGCAGCTGAATTTGACGTCCTGCGAAGAAAAGAACGGCAACGGTGTCTCCGCAATAGCGGTAACGATTTCTGTTGCTGCCGCTGCTGCTGCTGCTGCTGCTGCTGCTGCTGCTGCTGCTGCTGCAGCAAGTCCGTCAAGCAGCTGACGCGATACAACAGGCAGCAGCAGAATCTCAGGTAATTTTCCAAATTCCCCCAAACGACGCACAAACAGCAGAACAGATGGAGCGGCTGCTGCTGCTGCTGCTGCTGCTGCTGCTGCAGCGGCTACAGGAGCTGTGGGGGAGCAGCAGAACGACTGCAGCAGCAGCAGCGCCGCCGCCTACGAGCTGCTGCTGCTGCCAGTGTTGTTGCTGCAGCAATGGTTTTAGTAGTAATTCAGCACTTTATGTTGCTTCTGCTTGTTTATCTATTGCTTTACCTGCAATGCAGTGTATATACACCGCGTCAGCAGCAACCATCTACTGGCGTTGCTGCTGCGCCCAGCAGCAGCAGCAGCAGCAGCAGCAGCAGCAGCACCAGCTGCAACCCTCTTCGTCTTAGGGTGTAATTGCAACTACTTCATATTAATAAAAGTGCAGTTGTTTTGTATACTACCAATGCTCTCATGCGTGCAGCAGCAGCAGCAGCAGCAATTGATGCTGTTGCCGTTGCTGTTGCTGCTGCTGCTGCACGGTGTACAGACTTCAGCAGTGCTTCTGCTGCTGTGTTTATTTTTTTTCAGCGTCAGTGCAGCAGAAGAAGATAAAAAACCGTCAATACCTCAGAACCCTGAAATCTTGCCTAGACTCTTATGAGGGTTTAGGGTTTAGGGTTTAGGGTTTGTATGTGGGGCGGAGCGCTAGCAGCAGCAGCATCAGCAGCAACAGCAGCAGCAGCAGACAGATACTGCATTGCGGTTCAATAGTGTTATGTTTAAACAACAAAAAAACAAAGAAGAACTACAGACTAAAGAAAAGAGCAAATAATAATAGCAGCAACGGGCGGCTAACTCCCGCTGCTGCTGCTGCTGCTGCTGCTGCTGTCTGTGTACGTATTTCTAGCGGTTTACAAGAATTTAGGGTTTATTAGGGTTTAGGGCTTACAGCGCTTACTACTTCTGCTGCTAAACCTCAAACCCTTCTCAGCCAAGTCTCCAGGGGGTTGGGGTTTAGGTTTTATACCTGCTTCTGTTGCTGTTGCTGCTGCTGCTCTTCCTGCTGCTGCTGCTGCTGCTAGTTGTTGCTGCTGAGTGTGCAGCAGCTGCAAGGGGGCTTGAGTTGCCGATACACCCGGATGGCGTGGCAGACAAACAAAAACAAAAAAATAAGGAAGAAGACTGTCGCGTACATACACCCAAAAACAAAAACATTAAAAGCTGTGCAGATACAGCAGCGCAGCAGCTGAGGCCCCCTAGCTAGCTAGCTAGCTAGCTAGCTACGGCTAGCTACAGCTAGCTAGCTACAGCTAGCTCTGTCTTGCATGCATCACGGGGGCTCCCAGGAGTCTGCTGCTCCACCTGCAGCAGCAGAGGGGACAGCGCGGCGTATTGCCTCGGGAGAGACAAGCAGAGACTGCTGCTGCTGTTGCTGCTGCTGATGCACTATGCAGAAAGCAGCAGCAGCAACAGGTGCAGCAGCAGCAGAGACCATGCGGTGTGGGGGGAGAGATGGTTGTGTTTGTCTCGACCGACAGGGCTAGGGTTTAGGGTTTAGGGTCTTGAGATTACACTTGGCTGCAGTGTCTAAACCCTAAACCCTCGCCCTGCCTCAGGCTATGTTCCCCCGTCTACGACGCAGAAGGTTATAAACCCCGAGGGCATCCTGCAGCACTTCTGATTTTGTCGGCTGCTGCTGCTGCTGCTGCTGTTGTCGTGCAGCAGCAGCAGCAGCAAGAGGCCTCACTGTCTGAAGCAGCTCTGCTACACGGACTCGAAGCGCCGATTCCCCCTGCTGCTGCTGCTGCTGCTGTTGCTGCTGCTGCAGAGGGCCTTCAATTAGCAGTGCGGTAGGCAGCAAATCCTGAACAAGTGGATATACACCCCATCGCATGCACGATGCATGCAGCAGCAGCTGTTGCAGCAACAGAGGCAGCACAAAAGCACGAAAGGAGAAGCAGCAGCAGCAGCAGCAGCAGCGGATTACCTGCAGTGAGCCTCTTGCTTCAGGGGGCAGACAGGAGACGTTGCAAACCACATCAAGCCTAACCGCACACCCCAGCAGCAGCAGCAGCAGCAGCAGCAGCAGCAGCAGTGGCAGCATCAGCAAGAACATGAGGGCACCAGCAGTGCGATAAGCAGCAGCTGCAGTACCTGCTGCTGCACCAAGCGCCTTAGCCGAGACTGCAGCAGCAGCAGCAACATTCTGCTTGCGGGGAGGCAACAAAAACCCTAAACCCTAAACCCTAAACCCTAAACCCTAAACCCTAAACCCTAGACTCACCACGGCCTTTTGGGGAAGAGACGTCTCAACGTGAAGCGCAGAGACAAATCTCCCCTTGTCTCCATGCTGCTGCTGGTTGAGTTGCTGCTGCTGCTGCTGCTACTGCTGCTGTTGTCCGTGTTGTTGCTGCTGCTGCTGCTGTCGGTGATGTCGCTGCTGCTGCTGCTGTCGGTGATGTCGCTGCTGCTGCTGCTGTCGGTGATGTCGCTGCTGCTGCTGCTGCTGCACTGCAGCGTTTGGGCGTCCGTCACGAAGCAAACAGCAGCGGGGGTTGATCCCAGCACTGCGCGCTGCAGCACAGCGACACCTAAGCCCTAAACCCTAAACCCTAAACCCTAAACACTAAACCCTAAACACCAAACCCCTATGGATCTGCACTTACTGCAAGGAGAAGCCGATTGTCTTCTTTCGTAGCATCATTGAGCGGAGGGAGCAGCAGCAGCTGCAGCAGACCAAACAGCAGCAGCAGCAGCAGCAGCAGCAGCAGGCATAAGTGTCTCCTACAGATCAGGGTTTAGAGCTAGGGTTTAGGGTTTGTGTTGTCTGCAGCAGCTACCTTCCCCCTTCCAGCAGCAGAAGAAATAAACAACCGAAGACCGCCAAGCAATAAAGGGCTGCCCTGAAGTGCTGCGGGTGCTGCTGCTGCTGCTGCTGCTGCTGTTGCTCCTGCTGCTCCTGCTGCTGTCGAAAGGAAGCACACGCAAGGACCCTCGCTCCACCCCCGCTGAGACACAACAGCAGCAACAGCAGCAGCAGCAGCATGAATAATAGCAACAGAAACTCATCACGCATACCGCATCGACAGCAACAGCAGCAGCAGCAGCAGGAGCGCAAGCAGCAATAACAGCAGCAGCAGCAACAGCAGCAGCAGCAGCAGCCACCTCCAATAAGAAGCCCTTGCAGAGCAGCCAGTCAATCGAACCCTTTAAGTTGGCATACTGCTGCAGCGCTGCTGCATGCAGCTGCAGCAGCTGCCGCAGCTTTGCTGCTCCAGCTGTATAGGCCTAAACAATAGCAACACAAAACACTCAGCAGCACCTGCTGCTGCTGCTGCTGCAACAGCAGCAGCAAACATCACAGCAGCAGAAATCGCAGCAGCAACAACACCCGCAACAGGAGCGCAAGCAGGAATAACAGCAGCAGCAACATCAGCAGCAGCAACACCAACAGCAGCAATCACCCTAAAAGCAACAGAAACGGCAGCAGCAAAGAGAACGCCAGCACTAGCACCAGCAGCAACAGAAGCACCGGCAGCAGCAACTGCGGCAGCAACAGCAGCAGCAGGACAGACCCGTCGAACCGCCAGGCGAGAGCCGCGACGCCCCACAGCGCGTAGTTCACTTGAGATAAGTTTTGCTGCAGCAGCAAACGCAGCAGCAGCAAGTTGCGTTGCTGCACATCCTGTGGTTGTCCAGCAGCAGCAGCAGCAGCAACAGCAACGGCAACAGCAGCAGCAGCACAAGCAGTAGCGGTTCAGCCTACCTGATGATATAAGGCTCTGATGCAGCAGCCTCAGCTGCTGCCGCACATTCTCAACGCGTTCACTTGAAATCTGCTGCTGTTGCTGCTGCTGTTGCTGTTGCTGCTGCTGTTGCTGCTCCTGCACGTGCAGGACCAGATGCAGCAGCTGCTTCGCTGTGGGGTGTTGTATTCTGGAGGGGAAGGACTTAAGGGCAGCAGCAGCTGCTGCTGCTGTTCTGGTGACTTGCACAGCGTACTGCTGCAGCGCGACAGCAGCAGCAGCAGCAGCTGCTGCTGCTGGGGTCTTGTGGAGAGGCGGCAGCGGCTGCTGCAGCGGAGGCCGAAGGGACAGCAGCAAATCTACAGGCTGGAAACGAGGCAGCACAGATGAGTTGGGTGAAGTTGCTTTATGATTATTATTATTATTATTATCAGCTGCAGCAGCAGCAGCACCTGCTGCTGCAGCTGCTGCTGCTGCAGGAGCAGCAGAAGCAGCACCGCACCTCCACCTGAGCGGGGATTGCAGCAACTCTGAGTCTCCAGCAGCAAAAGCAGCAGCTGCAGCAGCGCGCTGCCGGCAGAAGCAAGAAGGAGGCCGTAGCTTGAAAGTGTTTGCTGTGTCTTGCAGCAGCAGCAGCAGCAGCAGCAGCAGCAGCAGCAGGAAATGACGGATGGAGAACATGC